AATCACTGCTAGATAAGTCAAGCAGCCCCGGTTCCTTTTCCACATAGAAGAATCTTGCTGGCACTTACCACACCCCAAGCAAAATGCAAAAAGAATACCGTCACATAGTTGTTTCGCCCTGGTCCTTCTCACAGCCAACTGGTCAATCTCGCCCGCCTTAGGGCACTCACCAGCTGCCGGCAATGAGTTTCTTGGCCCGATCGCTGAAACGAGACGGATCGATCATTCACGTTGGGTATGAGAGTCTGTCAGTATGGTCCAGGCATGTTAAAAGCGTTGCTTTTGACAAGGAAACAAAAGGATATCAGAAGGGATTCCTTTGGTTGCCACTTTCTCTTGAATTCCTGAGGTGTTGAACCAAAGGAAGTCCACAAGAGGTCAGTAGGAACAATATTGGTTCAGTGTGGTGTCTTTGGAAAAGGGAAGCCCATCAAACTTCTTCGAATAGATTCCAGAGGTGCCCGTGGACGGGCTACCTTGGACATCCTTGGACCATGGGTTCTGGGTTGGGGCAATTTTGTAGAGCTTCGCACACCAGCGATACCATAAGGTTTGTTGTTTTTGTTGCGCGCGTGCCCAGAACACAGATTTTGACGGTCCGGCAACAGTAAAGCATCTACACAGTTGGCATTTTTGTGCCTGTCAGGAACACGCCGGCCCCGTTTCTGTTCAAAACAACAAGCAGAGAAGAACACCCTTGCAGGCATAGCTTTGCATGATGTTTAAAACAAATACATTTGAGCAGCAACATCGTGTAGCACACGACATGGGCTGTTCCCTCGGCTCTTTGTCGCGCTTTTTCCCAGGAAGACCCCACGGCGTCCGTCACTGCCGCCTGTTGAAACCGAGATGTAGTACGCGGACCAATCCGACCCCTTTCTTGGCCATCCCATGTTGAAGATCCTGCATGAGATATTGAGCAACCCTGGCGACATAGTACTATACAATACTATACAGTATACATGCATATTATTTCTTCGATCGACCCGGATAAAACAAAAGGTACACACCACTGGTGTATGATATTTGATAGATGCTGGCTGCTCGAACAACCTCATGCCGGTTTCGGCACGAACAATCAATATCATTGTCATCATGTTTCAATATGTTTCATATCATTAATCATGTGTTTCAGGAGTAGTGGGCCACAACTACTATGTCATTGGCCCACACAACTCCTAAGTCACCAGTCCTCAGTATAACATAGTATAACTCCTTTTTTTGCGCCGAACATTCATGAACATTTCAAGGGTCACCAGTTGTTGAAACCCGAGTTCCCCGCTGTGTTGCTTCGCGCCCAACCGAAACGGCGCTCTGCTGCGCCATGCTGCGCCAAGGCTTTGTGGTCTCCAAGCGAGACCGCCCGGAGCCCAGCCCAGAGAAGAACAACGTTTCGGCCGGCGAGCTGCTGCAAGGCAGGTTCTTGAAGGGAATCCACCGCAGGCAGCAGGCAGACAGACGAAAAAGACTTCCAAGTTTTGGGCCAAACTACAGCTGTGGGAAGGAACATGAAGGAACCATCTTGATATTAAACATTCATCATTCTGCATCGTTTGACAGCCGCTTTTTTGAGCACCAGTTGCAAGCGACCATTTCCCAGAAATTGAAATCCCTTGAAAACAACATGTTGCCCATCACTCGAATGGGATTGGCCTCAACATCGCCAAGTGCCTGCAGTCATAGACTGCTGAGTTTAGAAATGCCCAACTCAGAGCCCAACTCTTTACTGTTTTCGACAAACTGGCGGTTCGATTCTGATTCTAGCCAGACATGGTCATTTGTGAGACCGCAGGAAGATCCGCAAATCCCGCGCAGGTTTCATGAAGTTCTACGCCTCCTTCGACTGGGCGAAGGAAAATATCTCAGTTCGTCAAGGCCAACGCAGCTTGGAATCACGCGGGGGGATGATCGCCAAAGCGTCTTTGGTTCCTAGCTCAGTACACACCCTGAAAATCATCACTATCAGTGCCTATCAGCTTTAGACCACGCAGTTATGGTGTCTGGTCATTTCAATATTTCCAGTGCGGAACATCATCCAGTTTCGAATGGATTTGCTTGATTCGAATTCATCCACCAAATGCAAGTAGTCATGGCAGGTAGTTCATCCGCCAGACTGATGCATTTCATGTTTGGGACATGTTGGCCAGACACAATCCCACACCATTTGGTAATAACTGGAGAGATCCTACAAAGATTCCCTTGTTTGTCCAGGCTGGACTGTCATTCCTTGAACCGACCACGACCCTTTTCATCGAACGAAAGGTTTCTCACTTTCACCAAATCCTTTCTTATTGGCTCGGGAACCTTGTGGTGATCTGAAATCAGGGTGACCCACAATTTCATTTGCACCAAACTATCCTGATGGCCTGTTACGGATGAATCACCTACATTGGGGTGGTCAAGGTACATACTTATAGGGATGAACGAACAGACGCTCGATTCTCGATGTATATTATGATGCATTGGGCTAGTTGAGGATGGACGTGGTTACAGGAGCACAAAGCCTTTTGGTGGCTCAGCAAAATCCCATAATGTCATATCATGTCATATCCTTTAGCGGAACAGTTGATTTTGACCATGGCTCACATTTTCTTTTGAATATGTTGCTGCCAAATTCTTGCCACACCAAAGCCAAATCATGGCCACTCCCATGGATTTTGCAAAAAAAATGAAGATTTCCCATTTCCAAGACGTTGGTCCGTTGATCTGAGGAGCAGCTCCCACACGACCGCTGATGCTCCTGCACGAAGACGGCAAGACGCAGCCAGGAGCGGTCGAGTGGTTTCAACGGCCACAAGCAATGCTTCCGGTGAAGTGGTTCAGAGGAATACACCACTCAGGTAGGCGGTCAGGTAGCTGCCAAAGTCTCGTTGAGTTTGGGAAGTTCTATTTTTTCTTGTGTGGGACGCGGACGGATCAAGAGTGCACTATATATAGATTATCGACAAAGGTCTGAGGCTGAAGGCAAGATAGTCTCGAGGATGTGACGGTTTTGGCTGACTATAGTAATTACATACGTATTATTTAACTTGAATTGATTGATTTATTATTATGTACTTAGATGTATTAGATGTACTTAGTTATATTTACTGCATATTGAGTGTATCTATGTATGTATATAATATATGAAAAATGTATGTTGTACGCCTTTAGAAGGAACAAGTGTTCACCCGTTCAGCCAACATTTGCCAGGACCCTGCATCGAAGACCCTTTTGAGACGTCAAACAACCTTGGGTCCTGCATGCCCCTTGGCAATGACCCCAGCAGGGAGGGGAGTGTCGAGCACAGGCTTTGATGGCCTTTTTCATGTAAAGCAGCACCATGTCAACTATTGTTCGTTTTTCCCAAACGATGCGGGAGAACGCAGCTTAATCGGTTCGCTATGCCATACCGTACCAGTGGTTGCGGGGATTTGCGGGGTGGATAACTTGTTTCTCCATGCTTCACGGGCCGCTTTGAGGCATTGGCTCAGTATGAGCCGGTTGCAGGAAGAGTTTGCACGTGGAGTACAGCTGTCTGGCGCGTCCTTGGCGGTGCCGCGGCGGGGTGGGCCCGCGGACTTTGGGCGAAAAAGGACGTGTGGAGAATTCAGACGTAGCAAAAAGAAATGTTTGGGGAAATTTAGTGAATATGTGAACATGGACGAACTAAGCCACTTGAATTTGGGCTGTGTGGGGTTGCCTCCCGGAAACGAACTGACATGTTTTTCCCCGGAATTGCCAGTAGACTAAGCTTGAGGCTCAGATCTGCAACCAAAAGCACAACGTGCAAGAAAAAGTGGAAAACAACACATTGTTGGTACTGTAGAAAGTAGTCTTTGGAAGGCTTGTCCATTTTCTATTTCGACATGTTTCTGTTGCTACTAATTATTTGCCACCATACTACTACTACTACTACTACTACTACTACTACTACTACTACTACTACTCCGTTCCAAGGAGCTCCTGGAGCCTTGGACTCCTCCGGACCATGCGGATGCAGACTGAGTAGATCCCGTCCTCCCCGGGTGGAGCGAAGTCCAGTCACGTGCAGGGCGAAGTCCAGTCCAGACACATCATGGGTTGAGGCAAAACTCCAAGAAGTCACAGAAGTGAATGGATGGGTTGAGCAAAGAGGAACTTTGTGAGACGGTGACGCTCTTGGGTGACTGGACTCAAGGATTTGAGCATGCCGTTCCGCGCCAGAAGCGTGCTAGTGAAAAGAGAAACGATTTGGCAACTCAAGTGTCTGAGTTGAGTGAAGTGGGTCAAATGTCCATGGGGTGCCCGTGGGAGGGTGCGCGATCTTGGATGGTTTTATTTGGGCCTTGAGCCGTGGAAAGACGTGGAAAGTCGTGTCACACCTATACCTATATACCAAATACATCCAAATACCATCGCAGGGAAGCTGGGCCACGATCTTCAAGTTGATTGTGGAGGAAAGTGAGGGGACCTTTGCTTTTGTAACATGCCAGGTCAAACACGCGAGGTCAAACAAGTTCGATGCTGTGAGAGCAATGCAGTGATGAGAAAGCAGTCAATTGCAGGGTGTTTAGGATGGAGGATGGAAGCAAGTATAGCGTTTGATCTCCCGAGCGTATGTTGTGCATGGTTTGCCAAGGGTGCCTTCCTATTCTCCAGGGGCACTCATTTTATGAAGACACCTTGGAAGAGATGGTTTAAGGACCTGTTTGCTACATATAATATTATACAATTATATATACTTTTTTTTATATTATTATTTTTTCGAGCAAACTTCATGCTGCAAATTACCAGAGATCAGAAATTTAACCTCCAGAGCTTGAAAGCTGTTGCCCTAGGTTTCCTGCTGGACGGGCATGTGCTGTACCTTCAGTTACTGTTTGAAGATCGAATTCCTATGGGTCGAAGCTGCTCCATCAACCCAACATGTCGGCTCAAACTGGGAAGCGGACATTTTTGGGATGAACCCTCTCTGTTTCATGGAATCCATAAGACATCAACACATCAAATCAATCCAACACATCAAACATCGGGAAAGACAGAACTCGGGCAGTGGTTCGAGGAAACAACCAGCGGCTGGTACTCAGTGGGGTCGCTGCACGTTGAGGCGGGGCATGCAGGGCTCTTAGGGGCGGAAAGTCTTGATGGTAATGGTTCCGGAATCTATGATCCCGGTGGAAAAACACGACTAATGTTTATTGATGATCCCTCCAATGACTTGAGGTTTGACGGATTGTTGTAGCGGTGTTACTGTCGGGCACTGCTGGTTGGTTCGGCCAGGCGGCCAGACTGAACAAACTCTGCGTTGTTGCCTTTTCCCATCAGCTTGGGGGCGGTTCGTGTTCAAAACTGCGGAGTGTAGTAGATGTTCGAGGGCAGGCACATGCAAAGGAAGGAAATCGAGAGATCATTCTTGTATTTTGTAGATCAACCGCTTAGTAGAGACATGGATTTGTTCGAAGCTATCAGCTATCAGTTCCCCAAACGAGCAAACCTCCAGATTCGTTCCCACATATAAACAGGTACCAAGTACCAACAGTGCACTCTAATATGCTGCTTAGTAAGATGCAGTAATGCATAGTAATGCTCTACAAGTTCCCACCAAAGCCGTAGTGTGGCTTGGGAGTGTTCTTTTTTTCATGGAGTGTTTCTTCGCAAGTAACTATAATTAACCATATGGGTTTGTATTTTTTTTGGCGTGTACTTCCTGATGTAGTGGTTGGAAGTTCGACTTGAGCGATTCATACCCTCGAATCATACCTCGAATCATACCCCCGAATCATACCCCTCAAAACGTTACACGTAAGAACCAGGTGACGAGCCAATGGTGCATGACGTTTGCAATTGTGTGTTCCATGGGCACTCAATTTGGCCAAAATTGTTTGTGTCTTCTTGTGGGACGAGCAAAGGCTCACATCCCAGGGGTACTCATAATGTTCCCATGTGCTCTCCCTTGGGAAGAAGAGCCAAAGGACCGCCTTCTTTTGCAGAATCTAATGGCCATACGAATCATACCCGATTCATGCCCGATTCATACCCGAATCACGCACCTCCACACAGTCTCCCACCCATCCCACATCCTGGTTGTTTTGGTGGGGCCTGCAAAGGGCCACTGGAGTCTTTGGTGGAAGAGTGCATTTGCCTAGTCTGCCCAGCATCCAACAGATGCTGCTTGCCTACTGCCTCGGCGCAGAGTGGGCCCACTGCTGGAAGTCCAGCTAATCCAACAATACAATTTCAAAGCTGCGAATCATCTGCGAATCATACCCTCGAATCATACCCCCGAATCATACCCCGAATCATACCCTCGAATCATACCACCTATTCAAACTTCCCGGCCCGACTACGGTAAAAAAATACACACCCATATATTTATTTTAACATATTGTTTATATAGTTACTATATAACTATATATAATAGTAGTATGATTATCGTCATGCGAGACCATTTGATAATGAGGCTCCTTGCCCTTTGTTTTGTCGTACTTGTCGTACATATATAAACACACAAACACAAACCTGCCTGTTTGACCACACGGTGGCTGCCTGGACCTCAGGGGGCCGCGCAAATTCGTGGAGCAGCTTCGATTATCAAGGTCGTGGCTTGACTGAATGGTTGTACGAGAACGGTCTCCATCATGTTGAGGTCGTTGATGGACAATGGTTTGGCTTACTCTGAGGGGACTGAGAGGCCTGACACATTTTCAATGATTTGTTACTGTGTTACTGTCACAGTAAATTTGTTAAATGATGTTCATCCCTCAACATCCGAGACGCAGCTGATTGATTGAGATTTTGGATACTTTGTTAGCCTTGTTAAGACATACTGTACTTGTTTGGAGGTTAAACTACATGATTGAACGGCTCAAATGAGCAACCTCTACTGAGTCCATTGCTTTCCGGTTGGAATTTTGCAGCTTGTTTTTCAGTAGATCCGACGAGTCATGGTGACAACTGCAAACAGACACATATCAAACAGATCCGAAAACAACCAGGAAAACTCCCCTTGTTGACCAGATATCCAGTGGTTTTTTTCCTCAGTGCTTCACCGTGGCCGCGCCGCATACCGGGCTCAAGGAGAACGATCCAAAGCAGATCGACTCGGACAAACCACCCATCAAATGGTGTACAACTTGGAGAACGGGAGAGGCTGCCAACGGTCTCTAAACTGTCTTATTGATCCACCTGTTGTTCCAGTGTCACACGGGACTTCAGTGTGTTTCTTGAGTGGGGATGATTTCATGTGTTCTCCACATTGACACGGTCTGGGGTGAATGTTGTAGGTGAATCAGCATCTAAGAGATGCCGCACGCGGCGTTGCAGCGGAATCTAGAGCGTCTTGGTGCAAGCGGTTAGAGTGACTCGCGCATGGATTTTTAGTGGATTCGACCAATGCAACTCGCCCCTTGCACCATGCACCTAACCACCTAGAAACCACTCATACCAATTTGTTGCGGTTAGATTGGTTACTAAAGATCAACAACTGGAAAGGGCCAGTCAACCTTGTTTCGTCACTTTGTTTCCAAATCTGCCAAAAAGCAAAAATAAAACAACCTTCCACACCTCACCAGGCTTTTTTGTACTGGTCGCCAATCCTTGCTTTAGCAAGGTTCTGAAGGGTGAATCCCATTTCACCTGCCTAGTTACCAGTTGAGCAGCCATGCAGGTCCATAGTAGTTAGGAGTTCCTGTACATGGGGAGCGGCAGAGCACTATAGAGACAAGTTCCAGATTTTCTCCACCCGCTCACCCACCCATATTGTCCAGACTGGCTCAAAAAACATCACTTTCAGCAGGAGTAAAGTAATGTTCAGCAACTACTGTGCGTTCAGCAACTAGGTTTCAGCAACTATTTTGTTGGTTTCAGCAACTGCGGTTCAGCAACTCCCTGCGTTCAGCAACTGCGGTTCAGCAGCTGGTTTTGTTGGTTTCAGAAACTGGTTTTGTCGGCTTCAGCAACTGGTTTTGTCGGTTTCGGCAACTGTCCATGTCGGTTTTGCAATGGATATTGGGGGTGGGGGGGAGGGTGAGGCCGGGGATAATGACGTACGTTGCGCATGCTACGCAGACATAATAGCTTTTGGTTTCCCAGTTTCCGAAACCTACGTTCCCAGTTGCCGAAACCCACCTTCCCAGTTGCCGAACCACAGGTTCCGAATATAATTGGCGAGTTGCCGAAACCCACCTTTCCAGTTTCCGAAACCCACGCTTTAGTTTCCGAAACCAACCTTATAAACACCACGCAGACCCTTTCAGCAGAGTATCTCTCCACGTAGTTGCTCTTGAGCCATCCACAGTTTTTGTCAGTTGTACAATTCTTTCCAAGACCAACATGAGATCTTCCAGAAGCTTTGGACATGTGAGAATGTTGAGAGGTGATATCACCTGCCCACCCAAGTGGTGATGGAATGTTTGAATCCTGGCTTGTTGTGCCTCCATTTCAGGGAAAACCCGATTCTGGCAGCGATTTCTACTCACCACCACGGACCGAGAGAGAGAGAGAGGGGCAATATTTTGGATTTTGTTGCATCTTTTGGTGTGTTTTCAAGTAGGGACCCCCCCTGTCCAAACAACTAGATCCATGGTTTTTCCAATTATGTCGCCTAGGTTTGTCTTTAATCAACCCCATCAAGAGCTTTTCTCACTCCCAGGGAGCTCCAAGCGCTACAGCGCGAGCTCACATGGAGCGATCGGCCTTCACTACCAGCTCGGGGCCACCAAACCCGCCGAAATGGGCGCGTGCTGCGCGAGTGCACCGCTGCGCAGACGAGCATGGCGGCTACCATTTGTTTGTTTGCAGAGTTCAAGAACTCTCCTCGGGTCTCAGGTTATTTTCTCAGCTGCGAAGTTGTATAGACATGTTATATCATGTTATAATATCATAATAGTACATGTAATGTATAGTCCTGGACAACACACTGGTTTTGAAGAACTGGTTTGTCATGCAAGGGGTAAACAAGCTGCATGCTGCTAAGGGCCCTGAATCAAAGGGTCCGTTTCCTGTCCCCAGCGCCCACTAAAGATACTTGACCCCGCTTGACCTCCTTTTAGTCAAATGAGAAAAGAGATAAGACAAACGCTTTCCAGCTAACAAAGTCTTTGTCCTGAGCCGACGAGTGTAGCAACATCTCCTATTGTGAGGTTAGAGGCGAACGACCAATCATTCAACAAGTGATGAAGAGCAAACATGCCCTTTCGTGGGTTTTGAACCGCGCCAGCGCCAGGTGAAAGCCTTAAGCAAAGGCAAGTTGATGAAGAGGAGACGGGATGCAGATGGGTCAGTAGACTCAGAGACATTCAGTGGGAAGATTGCTGGATTGGACAACAGAAGCAACATTACGTTAGCCAGAAAGAATTAAAATATATGGACATCAAATAAACCCGGGTTATTGAAGACGGTCTTCCAGGGCATGTGGGTGTTTTTCGGAGGTAGTTAGCCCTTGCATAGAAGATGGCGTTTACTATGTTCAACACGTACTCAAACATGGCGAGCACCCAATCAAAATCAACAAGGTGAAGACGAGTGACTTTGATGAAGCAATAACTTTCAGCAATTTGGAGTACTTTGGATTATATTTTGGGTTTGGAATCTTGAAGTGGAAGCGCTCGAAAGATGTTATATAAATCAATTGTGCAAGCCACGCGAGACCCAGTCACAGTCCTTTGGAGTCTTTGGAGTCCTATTCTTTCTATGCATAGAAAGCCGGGACGGGAGGGGAAGGAGAAGCATCCTTGAAACACACAGACACACACACACACACAGTTTTTGAGTTGCTTTCTACTTGGGAGGCCATCGCTCTTAGGTTGGAGGCCATCGCTTTGGGTTGGAGGCCATCCCCATTAGTGATTTATATATACTTAAATGAACCTGGAACCTGAATGACCTCTACTTTGGACCACCAACTACCCAAAATATGGTCTTTTCGTATCAAAACAGAGGTCAATTGGGTTCCAGGTGTATATATACACACACGCACCTACCATCACCTACCATCACTTACCTCAAGCATCGCGTCACCTCGCGGTGTCGCATGGTGGTGTTGCTGTTGGGTGCGTTGCACAGGTCGTCGCATCGTTGCGCAGACATGGTCCAAACACATGTCAAGACATGGTCATCACCAAACACTTCAACATGACCGTAGGTTGACATATGTTGATATAGCTGCTGCAATTTGTTTGGGCGAATCCACGAGGGTCCAGAAGAAGTACTATCAAGACCCACGTGACTAGTTTACATTTAAGAACAGTTTTTTCCCTGGTACATTCCTATGGCGTCACATCCAATACGCTCTTGGTTTTCACATGGATCCCTGACCTCCAGGAGTCTTCAAACCCTGCCTTCGGGCGCTCCAGCGCCAGGGGCACTGGGAGCGGTCTTGGGCAGCTTGGCTGACTGGTGCCCTGGTCGAGCTGTCAGCGACGCGTGCACATCATCCGCAGCCAAAAGATAATAATGTGGTGCTCAGGCGTTTTCAACAAATAGAACCATGAACCATGAAGCTTGCCTCACACCGAACGTTGACCAAGCAACCAAGACCCCAGTGAGGCTTCGACTCATTGGTGAGACCCTCTGGGTCCCAGGAATCGTTTCAGGACCAGAGACATGGTCTATGCTTTTAGTAGATGTCCCGAGTCCCAAACAAATCTTCTTTGTTTTAAAGGCCAATCTCTTGATGCAGATCATCCGAAGCTGGAGAACGCAACAACTTCGGGACACACACACACATGCTGGTCGCAACCACCAAGCCCTCCTCCGCGCCGGAGAGCGGGGCAAAACGTCCATCGCACCAGCGGCCAAACGTCCATCGTTGCGACGGCCATCGTTGGCCCCTGCCTGAGGCTGGCCACAGGCGCTGTCGGGGTGTTTTCTGAGGAAGAGATGGGATGTCCGTGACAGAGCATTATATATAATAATATATAATTACATATGTCTAATTATACATATACATACATATACATATATGTATCATACTCTATAGAAGTCTATAGACACAGAGCTGCGGAGCTGTAGTACACGGAAGTAGTCGAAAGATTAATGTTCCTTGCATTTAGACCATGATTGCATTAAAACAAGTCGTGGTGCAGGTATCTCTCAAATTCCGTCAGTCGTTCATGTCCTGCTTGTCTTTGTTTAGGAATGTTGCCGTCTTATGCGGAATGACAAGCAAACCTTTGTTGGACATGTGCAGCAGGATTCTTCGAGTGAAATATCACTCAATGCATGTATATGCACATGAGTAACAAACAAAAGTCTGGGATATCTCCCTGCCGAAGAAGTATTATATAATCTATTTGATGGATTGCGGCCGGGCCATCCCCCGCTCAGTAATCAACAGCGGCCACATATAGTTGGTGTCCCTTCGTAAACGCATTGTTCTCATGGCACGCCCAACTCATGGCACTGGCTTTGGGCGCGTGACCATTTGCAATGTCACGTGATTTTGTGAATGTTGAATGCCAACTCAGACTCATTCCCCCAGCTCAAAGTAGAACTGCAGGCAAGCCAAGGTATCTCGAGCCATGCTTTAATGAACGTCATTCTGATTTCTTTCAAACGGCGCCGGTTCATTTAAAGCCTCCCAATTTGGGGTTATCCTCGTCAAGATCTATGTGATTCGTCTACGATGGCTGGTTTGGGTCATCAAACTACCGTGGAGCTTTATTGAATCAATTCGATCTTGCTACGACCGACTGTGGGCGGGTTGAGAGGCAGTGGAAACTCCATGGCTGGGTATCCATCTAGTGTGAGAAATGTATGTCGCCTTCATTTCACGGCACAGGCGACAGGAACCGGGAGAGACTCTCCACCGCAGGCACGGTTCTTCGTAGAATCCACCCGGGATCCATATTGTGAGGGATGGTGATCACATACGTTTTTTCTTTTTAAACGTGGTCTCCGGTGGGCATAAGGTTTAGGGATTCGGTCGCACGGTCGCACAAAGGTACGGGAACTCCTTTATTTTGACCGCCTTCATGTAATCATGTTTGTACATGTTTGTACCGTCCCTGCACTGCCATGCACGGCCCTCGTGCAGCCTTGTGCAAGTGGCTGCAAGCTACACACCTGTAGGACCTCGTCTCTTCAACTCCAAACTTCCATAGTTTCAGCCAAGAGTAATGGTTCCTTCTGGGGGTTGCAGACTACAAAGATCTACAGTGTGTCTCCCAATATATATATATAATTATATATACACTGTAATTATAGATATATAATATATAATATTAATTTACTTATCTTGTCGTGCATATTGTCGTGGTTAGGACTTGTGATTTCTGGACTGCATAGGTCAAGCATTCATGACATGTGACATGGACTCCACGCAGGGTACACCACCACCGGTTGTCGCATACCGCAAGGGCGGGATCAATGAGCCAGAAAAGCATGCTGGCCTAGCGGCTTTCGCTTTGTGCGTCGTCGGTCGACGCAGTCCGTGTTCGGTTGTGCTACCTTCATGGTAGCGGAGCCCCCAAAGCGGGGCTCCTCGTTGTCGCCATGAGTGATTCTGCTGCAGTCTCGACCTGGAGTGGGGACCCTTCGGAGTTTGAAAGCTTCGTGATAGCGTGCCGCTGGTTTGAAAAGGCGCTCAAGCCGAGCGAGAGAACCCAAGCTGCACCGAAGATCTGGGCTCGCTTGACTGGACCTGCAAAGGCCGTGGTTAAGCACCTAGATCCAGATGAATTTGCATCGGACGAAGGACTTCAGCGTTTGTTGACAGTGTTGAGGACATCTCCCCTTCAGCAACTCCCAGTTCCTGACAGCTTCAAGCGCCTAGATGTTTGGCATCATTTGAAGAGGGGTCAACAGGAAAGCATTCCAGAACTCCTTGTCAGGGAAGAAGATTTGTTTGTGCAATTGCAACAGGCCCTCAAGCGTGCAAGACAAGACCGCAATTTGTTGTCGCATGCTGACCTTGTTCGAGACCCAGTTGCACGACCTCCGCCTTCAACGCCTTCCCAAAGCCCCATCAATCTGACCGGATCTCGGTATGCTGACCGGATCCCGCCAGATGCACCGCAGGAGGCACGGGATAGGGCACCTGGTGGTGACGCTTCGACATCATTTGTTGGTGATTTTTTTGAGGTTGAGTTGAGGGGGTACCGCCTCTTGAAGGCGGCAAGATTGTCAACGGCTGAACGTCAAAATGTTTTGACGCAAACAGGCAACTCCACGGCATTCCACATGGTCAGAAGAGCATTGAGGACATTGTTTGCCACCGAGGAGGATGCAGAGCAATCACGGGGCTGGACCCGAAAGCAGCAGGTTTGGTGGAACGAGGACGCTGGTTACGACCAATCGCATGAGGATCATTGGATTGAAGAATGGCCCTATGACGATTGGTATGGCGATCCAGGGCATGATGAAGAAGCCTTCTGGCACGCCTGGCCAGGTCACGATGAGGAGTGGATGGAAGATTCACCTTGGTCAGAATGGCCACCCGATGAGTTGCCAGTTGCAGAAGGTGACGAAGATCCACTTGAGCAACAATATGCTGAGGCCTACACCTTGGCCAACGAGGCCCAAAAGACCTTAGCTGAGGCAAGAGATGCAGTGCGCCGAGTGCGCCAAGCTCAGGGCTACTACGCACCTGAGTCCATGACAGGCAAGGGCAAGACAAAGTCGCCGGCATCTAGCCCTTCCAGTGGAGGCAAGAACTCATTTTCTGGGAAGAGCGGCTGGGGACCTTGCTTCATTTGCGGCAAGCCAAACCACAGTTACCGACAGTGCCCTGACCGTTTTGCCAAGGGTCGATCGACTTCGCGCAAGGGCTCTGGCAAGGGATTCGGCAAGGGCTTCAAAGGAAAGTCCAAGAAGGGCAAGGGTTATGGCAAGCCAATTCAGTTTCATTCTTTGACAGTTCCCCTGTTTCCATTGCACGTTTATTTCAAGGAACAAGTGCAGGGCTGTCGTGTGATCATCGATACAGGGGCATCTGAGAATGCTGTCGGCTCCACCGCTCTCCAGCACATGCTTGAAGCATCAGGACTGGACCATGAGGTGACCACGGCAGACCGCCCGGTTTTTCGCTTTGGCAACGGCCTACAAGCTCAGGCCAAGCGCCGTGTTGATCTGAAGGGAACTTCACTGGGCTCGATTTCCTTTTACGTGTTGGGCAATGAGGCTCACCAGACTCCGCCACTCATGGGCGGAAAGACATTGAGAGAGCTAAAAGCAATGCTGGCCTATGAGCGCAATTTGTTTTTGTATCAAGCACCTCATGAGGAGACATGGTCAGCAGTTCAGATGGCACCGCATGCATCATCACATGTTTCCATTGATTTGTTGGAGAAGGCAGTTGCAACAGATTTGAGTGTTTTTGGTATGAGCAGTGCAAATCAGTCAGTTGTGGAACGTGTTTCTTTGCCACCAACAGTTTTGATGATGTCCACTTCTTGTTTGAGTATGCCATCAACAGCCGAATCCACTAGCACCTTGGCTCGAAGGCTGCAGGGAGATCTTCGGACCCGACTCGCTCGGCATGGACAAGTCCAAGCAGCCATGCGCAGTGGACGATCCAAGAGCTCTCAGCAGCTTCCCCTGCTTTGGGGAACACAAGCCCAAGATGAGGCAGAACCAGTATGCCAGCTGGATGACATGTCAGGCTTGCGGCCTGCGAACCAGCTATGTGAGCAAGCGGGACTTCGAGGGCGACTCGAGGCACATGGGCCCGCACCCGCACTTGATCAGTGCAGCTCTGGAGCAACTCCGTCAGACCATGCCGGCAAGTCAGGTGAGCGAGAAGATGAACGGCAAGGTCATGGAGCTGAAGGGAATCCAGTTGCAGCAGGGCCTCACGAACACCCAGGCCATCAACATGACCTTCCCGGAGTACTGCAGGAGGATGGGCATCTCGATGAAGTCAAATCCAACCTCTCCGGCAAGGGAGAAGAGCCCGGCATCTCCGGCTCCAAAGGCCAAGATCCATCCGACGGC